TAGTTTAAGTATTTGCTATTGACTGTTCAAATGTGGAGTTTTGCGCAGCGCAGAGTAACGCGTCGTGTGTGTGTGTGTGTGTGTGTGAGAGAGGGGAACAGGGTCACATCACAGGAGAGTGAACTGCCTGTCAGAAATCATAGCACGTCAGCTGTCTTAACCGCGGCTTGTGTACTGCATCATCACTGTGTCTGTCACGCGAATCTGTTGCCCTTTCGGGCTTGAACTGATGGTAAAACTAACGACATTATTAACTGTCTTGATATTTACTTTGAAAGCTGATGCTCGCGATTATGGTAAGGGGCGTTACATTTCTGACACGTGCTTGCAGTGTTCGGCCAATCACAATGCACTGGGTCAGCTGGCCAATCAGAGCAGACTGCGCTTGTCAAAGGAAGGGGCTTTGTTGAAAACGACGTATTTGAGAGAGGCGGGGCATAGAGGACCTACAATAATGTACAGTATTTGAAAAATAATGTTTTTTGAACATTAAAGCATGTCAACATATTCTATTACACCAAATACACAAAATAATGATCTTTAAAATAGCATCATTTGACCCCTTTAAAGGATTTTAGAAAAAAACTCAACACCGCCATCTAGTGGACTGTAAAGAAACTGATTTTTGTTACTACCAAATAGTATAATAAAAGATCGATACTTGGCGTCCGTGTATCAATACAGTATTGCCGCGGAAAATATCGTGATACTATGCTGTATCGATTTTTTCCCCCACCCCTACAGAGCATAAGCTCCAAATCTAGTCTTTCTCTGCACTAATGTTTTTCAGAGCAGAGAGATGCCGACAGTGCAGTAAGCCACAGCGGGCGGAGGGGTCAAAATATCCCCCAATTCTTCCTTATGATGAAGAACCTCTTGGATTAGGGATGATATGAAGGCACCAGCAGGGTTTTACTCAATAATGATGTGGAAGTGAAACCTGCCCAGCTATACTACTCTCCCAGGGACTATTATTCGCTGGTTCATCATCTCTGCGGTACTATGAGGGGCAGGTGTGCTGTAAATCACTGTCTGTCTTCTAATACTATGGCTTCTTTAATCATTAATGTGTACTAATGAATTCAGCAGCTTAAAAATGCCTTTGGATTAAACCAAGTACTCTCCTTGATCAACAACTACACTGGTCTCTTAAAAATAGCATCAGAGCACCTCTGGACAGAAGCAGAAGAGGATGATTATTTGAAGGGAAAATAATATATTTTAGCACCTAAAACAAGGAGAAAGTAGCAACTTCGGAACCTTTATATTTTTATGAAGAAATATTGTGAGTAAAAGTATATAGATATCCATGGCATGCTGTTAGTTTCCACATAAAATTAGTTTAATTTGTCCATAAGCTTGTAAACACAAAGGAAAATGGCTGTACTGTTTAGTAATACACTTACAATGAGAAGATACGGGGCAAGTGTTAGTGTTGTTTTTGTTAACTAAAACGAAGACTACAAATCGTGTGGGTAACTGAAATAAAGCTGAAATAAAACAAAAATATTCTATGCAAACTAAAAACGACTTTAATAAGTTCAAGGTGAAGCACTAAAATTACTAAAACTGAATTAAAAATATATTTAAAATATTTTAATAGAAATATTCAAAAAATAATACAAATTACGAGAGCAAAGCACAAAAAAAAATACAAATTAAAATGAAAACAAAAATAAAAGTTAATTCAAAATATTCATAAATACTATAAGCAGCATTAGACAATGAGAGGTATTTCACTTCTTAACCTTGCCTGTGCAAAGTTAAATGCAATCTTTCATATATCATATCATATCATATCATATCCACTTTTACTTGGTAAAACATGTACCTTTAGGATGATATTGTACAACTTAAGTATATATAAAACAATATTTTACATGAAATAAACATGACAGAAATATCCACATGAATAATGACAGTAACTTTTCTATCCCCCTAGAAAAGTAGTCCTGCCTCAAATGAATAATTCCTGTCAAAAATGAGATTCACACTTTTTTTTTTACATTTTAAACCATCCAGTTTACTTGCCCCATAGACGTCTACTGTAAGGGCATTACTGTACATTACCTTTTTTTTTTACACCTTTGTTCATAAATTATTTTCTAAGGTAATCAACATGATATTGATGCTCTCAATATAGCTGTATTTAATTCAGAATTCTCAAAAAAATCATAATCAAAGAATAAATACCCTACTGTTCAAAAGTCTGGGATCAGTAAAGTATTTCTTTTTTTTAAAGAAATTAATACTTTTATCCAGCAAGGATGCATAAGATTGATCAAAAGTAACAGTAAAAACATTTAGCCTATAATGTTGCAAAAGATTTCTATTTGATATAAATACTGTAATTTTGAACTTTCTTTACATCAAAGATTACAAGGGAAAAATGTATTACAGTTTCCACAAAAATATTAAGCAGCACAACTGTTTTAACACTGACTGTTTTGAGCAGCAAATCAGCATATTAGCATGATTTCTGAAGGATCATGTGACACTGAAAACTGGAGTAATAATGCTGAAAATTCAGCTTTAACATCACAATGTAAAGCTGTGCTAACATGTGATATTGTCTTTACTGTATTTTTAAATAATCTATGAATATTTATAAATAATATATAAAAATGAGCATAAGACACTACATTCAATTACATTGTAACCCAAACTTTCGATCGGTAGTCTATCTATATAGTTACTACAGAGCGACAACATGTTTCATGATTGGTGACAATATGTGGTGGGCTGTGTTACAGATCCAGCCCAAAGTTCAGTTAAGAATTAAATGAAGCCATTAGTTTTCTATGAAATGTAAAGTGAAAGTCCATAGCAGACTAAATTAACAACATCATACCAACAGTCATGAAATCGAACACTTCATCTAACTCAGGTGTCTGAGCATATTTCTTAATATTCATCCTACCCCTGTTGATCAGTCACGCCATTAATAAAGACATGACGGTTGATCAATCTGCCTTCACGTCTAAACCTACAGATGAAGCATGATACTGCCATCAAAACACACCGAAAGGAATTAAAGGGGTCATATGATGCAATTTCAAGAATCCAGCCCGGGGTCCGTCACATGTGGTTGCCGCTCATTCGTCGGATCCGCCGGGCGCGCCGTTCTCGACCTCAGCTCACTCTATCCCGGCCTCAGCTCACTCTAAGCCGGGGCTTCCGCTCATGCTAGCGCATAAACACATTTCATTACACCAAATACACAAAATAATGTTCTTTTTAGCAGCATCATATGACCCCTTTAAATGGCGGTCTCTCTGACATCAGTACTTACCGTGTATGAGGTAATGGTATTGGGAGGGAGATGCAAAGAAAAGGATCAAAAGTGTTGCTCTGTTTCTGACAGTGCGGACAGGTAAGCGAGGATCTGGAATCAACAGAGGACACAGTGAGCCATTTCAACTAAGACAAACATTTAAATACAGCTGACAGATAGACAGACAGACATTTATATAGACAGATAGACGTTTATTACCTGTACTGAGCTTGAAACAGCTCTTGAACAAATGAGCCGGCTGAAAGAGGAGGTGAAGGTCCCTCTAACGCTCCATCGTCTTCCTCAATAGGAGGCTATGGTGACAAACATGAGAATGTTAGGCACTATTTAACAATACTAACACCAGTAACTCAAAACAAGCCAGCAGAAGGTCAATTATTAAATATGCATGATAGACTTGCATATCACGTAACAAACACTAACACCTACCACACTAATACAAAAAAAAAAAAATAAATATAAATATA